GGGTGGCCTGGACACGTAAAACACGTGGCCCTTGCTCGGGTCAACCATATTAGATGCCCCCTTGGGTGGCCTGGACACGTAAGAACACACGGTGCCAGCTCGGGACAACCATGTTGGATACCCCCTGGGTGGCCTCGACACGTAAAAACACGTGGCCCGTATTCGGGACGATCATGTTCGATACCCCTTGGGTGGCCTGTACATATAAAAGCACGCGGTTCCAGCTCGGGACAACCATGCTAGATACCCCCTTGCGTGGCCTGGATACGCTGAATTCGCGCTACCGCTCGGGACATCCTCGCAATGCCTTCCCTGGAGAGGCCCCCCAAACGCCACCCCCTGTCCAGAGCAAGAACACATAACTTTTCTGGTTTGGGATATGTGTTAGGGTAGCGCTTCTCGCCCCCCCGCGCGTTTCCTCGTAAGTCTGCGTTGGGCCCGACTCCATGTGAGATACCCCCTCTCGGCGGCCTGGGCACGTAAATGATCGACCCACGAACCCGGAAAGGAATATAGAAATGTAAGGCAAGGTAACTTTTCAAAGACACTTGATTGGGCGAACGTTGCAATGCTGAATGCATCGATCTTGATGTATTGTGCCGAGGGCTGTGCTGTGCTACGCCGTGCTGAACTGCGATGTTCCAGTGGATCGATTCCCTCCTGTGTATCCGAGTCCTGACCGAACTGATCTGGATCTTAAGCTCGAGCTGCCTGAGCACATAGTAGCTGCCCCAGAACCAATCGACAGAGGGGAGCTTGTCAGGAGGACGCGCCGCGGAACGTCCCAAGGGACGCGCCAGGCGGCCAGGCGATGTGCCAGGGGACGTGCCATGGGCACGCACCGCGGGACATGCCAAGGGGACGCGCTACGGAATGTGGCAATGGATGTGCCGCGGGATGTGCCAGGGGACGCGCCGCACGACGTGCCAGGTGGACTCGCCAAGGAACGCCCCAAGAAACGTGCCAAGATGCAATTTCAAATATCTCGATCTTGATGTACCGTGCCGACGGCTGCGCTGTGCTGGCCGTGCTAAACTGCGATGTGCCATGCCGCGATTGTACTCTATATAGCGTTGTGGATCGAGTCCTCTTTGCATCCGAGTCCTGACCAAACTGATCTGGATCTTAAGCTCGAGCTGCCTGAGCAGATGGTAGCTGCCCCAGAACTAATCGACAGGGGGACATGCCAGGAGGACGCGCCGCGGAACATCCCAAGGGACGCGCCAGGTGACGTGCCAGGGGACGTGCCATGGGCACGCACCGCGGGACGTGCCAAGGGGACGCGCTACGGAACGTGCCAATGGACGTGCACCGCGCGACGTGCCAGGGGGACTCGCCACGGGACGCTCCGCGGAACTTGCGAGGCAACACGCCAGGCTGCAATGCTAAGGGTATCGATATTGATGTACCGTGCCGAGGGCTGTGCTGTGCCTTGGCGACCTGGACACGTGCAAACAAGCGCCTCGATCGAGACTTCCTCGACACATCCTCATGCTAGACATCCGCCTGGGCAACCTGGACACGTGCAAACAAGAGTCTCGACCGAGACTTCCTCGACACATCCTCATGCTAGACATCCGCCTGGTTCGAGACATCCTCAACAAATCCTCATGCTAGACATCTGTCTGGGCAACCTGGAGGCGTGAAACCAAGCGTCTCGCTCGAGACATCCTCAAGACCTGGGCACGTGAAAACAAGCATCTCACTTGAGAGATCCTCTGAATTCAGGTCCCCAGGAGAGGACAATCTATAACACAAAACAAGCGTTTCGCTGGAGACATCCTCAACAAATTCTGAAAAAAGCAAGCGTTTCGCTCGAGACATCCTCAAACATAATTCCGCCGGCCTCCTTCAAACCTGTCATTTATCGCAAAATAATTCCGCCGGCCTCCCTCAAGTCGATTCCGGGGGTAACCAGCTCAAAGAGAACCCTGGGCCCCCGCCCTTTCCAGGAAATTGTCTGGGAAAGATTTCCCCACTACTGTTGACAAGTTTTGAATGGTTGCCGGCTATTTTCATTCTTCTTCCAAAAACCGCCTGTAGGAGGACATGCCCGACCTACGCCAAAGAGTCCAATTCAGGACGCTGGGGGGATCCGATTGGACCCCCGCGCCAGCCTGGCAGTTCGCGGAGGCTTTCGGTTCCACGCGTAGGGCTCGTTCCCGCGGTGGAGGTCCGCAGAAGAAGGGCGGGCTCCAGGTTGGAAGCGAAGCGGTCAGCTGGAGCGAGCTACCATTTCCACCGTCCACGAACATCTCGCTCTTGTGAACTGTCAGGGGCAGTTACGCGCCACGCGCTGATGAGCAGCTGCGCACGGAATTGAGAACAGGATGGCCAGGGCACTCGGGAAGATGGTTAGATACCGCAGCGGGATGGGCCCGGGAGAGGCGCAAGTGGCTCCCGAGTTCGCAGATTCGATTGCTTGCGTTGCAGCATGGCTGGCACCACCCGCATGGCGAAACTTCCATTAGTTTTGGGACCACCCTGAGGAGTTCAAGGGCAAGGTCACCTTCCGGCGCAAAGCTGATGCTCACGCAGACGTGGCTGCAGGTCAGCATGATGGATAGGGAGTCGTCGTCAGGAAGTGTGTGGAGGATTTGTCAGCGAGGTTCCTCCATTCTCGCTCGGATGGGCACGCTGGCTTCCATCATTTTCGAAACCTCACTTGGCCATGGAGGCGAGATGATGAAGAGCGCCACGCGGCGATCCTACCATCGCGTGGGTCTATCATGTTCGCTCTCCAGGCCTTTGGAGGGTGGGGGCTCTCGAGTGTCTCGCGGGGGCCTCTCAGGGATCTATTTTGGAGATCCCTCGTAGACCTGTCGAGCGTCGTGGAGCGATCTTGTGGGGAGGGTGCCTGTGGTGCCCATTCGTGGCCTCCCGTTGGGGCCCCTTGGGGGCAGCTCTGTGGACTCACGGTGGGTTTGTTTTTTTGGCTCACCGTGTCTCGCCGCCGGGCCTGGCCCACCGCGCTTCAGCGCGACACGCTATCCTCCTCCTCCTCCGCCTCCTCCTCCTCCTCCGCCTCCTCCTCCTCCGCCTCCTCCTCCTCCTCCTCCTCCTCCTCCTCCACTTCGCAGTCCCCAGGTGCCCCATGTCCCGACCTTTCCCGGCCTCCCGCTCAGCGGAGCGGAGAGAGACGCTACCCGCTCGCAGCGCACAGCGTGTCGCCGGGGCTGCCGCCTCGGCATACTGAGCAACAATTTCCTAGCCGTATGGAGCTCCTGTTGTCGCCGCAGGGGCCAGTGCAGGAGACGGAATGGACTGCCTAGGGTTTTCTAGAGGTCGATGTCAAGTCACTCCATCTAAGCCAGCAGGGGCGGACCGGAAACTCTCCCGCTGCGGTGTCCCAGCGAAGCACCGCGGGCCAAGCAGAAGGAGGGGAGAACAAGTCAAGGACGCCTTGCGGTCCAGAGCTTTTGGTCAGCGCGTCGCTCCGCCACTTCTTGCCCGCCACGCTCCGGCGCGACACGCCACCCACGCCCCAGTCCCAAAGCATCGATGGTCCGAGCTTTTTCCGGCCGCCCGCCCCGTGGATCACCACCCACCAAACCACCCCAACCCAACCCGAAGGCTCAGATTTACCCTCGATTTCCAGTGGGGGGGGGGTCGGGAAACATCGAAAAAACACATGTGGAACCCTTACCCCCCCCTAAACCCGAAATTCGGGTCTTCGGGTTGGGTTCGGGTGGTCTGGTAGGTAGTCCGTGGAGCGGAGCGCCACGCACAGCGCGACCGCAGGGAGGGGCGCGAGCCGCCGGGGCCGCCGCCGCCGCGCGCGGAGCAGCAGCTCCGGACCGCAGGTGGCTCGCGGCACCGGCTGGCCCTCGATGGCTCCCTGCAGGGGAGCGAGAGCGCGCGCGGGCGTCCTGCCATGATTGGGCGCCCGAGTTATCCGGGGTAACTCGGGTCCGGGGTAACTCGGGTTTGGATTCCCGAGAAAGGAACCCGAGTTAGCCCTGACCCGAGTTACCCCTGATGATTCGGGGCTCTGGACGCCCGAGTTATCCGGGATAACTCGGGTCCGGGGTAACTCGGGTTTGGATTCCCGAAAAACGAACCCGAGTTATCCCTGACCCGAGTTACCCCTGATGATTCGGGGCTCTGACATGATGCACTCGCGGGCGCGCGTGCGGTCGTGCCGTGGCTGCCGGCCCGCGCGCTCCGGCACGGGCTCTGCCCCTGGTGGCGGTTGCGGGTGCGGCGGCGGGGCCGTGCGCGGCCCCAGAGCGCAGTGCCTGGGCGCGCAGGTGGTTGCGGATGCGGTGACGGGCGCCCGCGCCCAAGGACTTGGCATCGCTCGGACGTGTGCATCCTTCCTTCGGCGAGGACAATCGAGGAGCATCCTTGATCATCTGGCGAAAGAACCACGCACGAAGCCGAAGAAAGCACAGGGAATGGACGCCCGAGCGATGGCGAGAGGGTGTGCTGCCCAGTTGTGGGGCCGAGTTCTGTTGCGGGCGCGCGCGGCCCAATGTGTATCGTCCTGTTTCTAGGCCTCTCATATGGCCTTCGAGTAGATCGGGTCGAAGGGTCGCTTCCCATCGCCGATGTATTGGCGATGCGGCGCGATCGTCCAACTCAACCTAGTCGGACCCTACTTAGGAGGCCTCTACGGTTGCGTTATCAGAATCGTCTGTCTCGCTCGGCGGACACGGGCATTCGCCCGGGCCCGCCGGGAAATTCAAGGATATTTAATTGTTGTAGTGGTGGTGTTCTTCAGCCGACCCTCAGGGTCCACAAAACGGCTCCGTAGCCACTTTGGTTCGAGCCATGTCTTGATCGGGACTCCGCTCAGCTGCCTGGAGGACTTTGCAAATCTTCGCCTCCCATGGCGTCGGCGACTGCTGGCTTGATGCTTGCCGGTTCTTCTTTTTTCGCTGGCGGCTGAAGGCAAGATTGAAAACAAGTTCTGGGTGCTCCTTATCGCCGTGGCGGGGGATAGAGAGGAGACGAGCGATGCCATCTTTGTGGCAGGGGTGTTCGAGCACGGTGGCAGCATGGATGTCGAGGACTGTCGTAAGAAATCTGATGTAATGAACGTTGGGCGCACGGAGTTCTTCCGGAACCACTTGCAGTTGCACACTTGCGGGAGCCTCTCGCGCAGCGTCTCGGGCGGAACTGTCAGCGTGAGGATGCACAAGAGCGCAGCAGCTGCAGAAAGTCCGACAAGAAATCCGATGGAGCGCAGGCTCGCGTGGCACAGCGACCCTGGCAGGTACGAGGAGGGTTTGCGCCAGCAGGTTGGCGAGAGTGAGAAGGCGAAAACCCACCCCCACCCCCAGTCCCGACCCCATTTCCGAACCCTCGATCCTGGGGGTCGGGACTGGGGGTGGGGGGTAGGTTTTCGGGGTCCAGGAATAAAGAACCCCCCCCCCACCCCCCACCCCCAGTCCCGACCCCCCAGATCGCGGGCTCGGGGGTGGGCGTCGGGACTGGGGGTGGGGGCGGGTTTTCGCCTTCTCAGAGAGCCACGGCCAGCGCGGGTGCCCCTGCCCAGCCGGCTTCACCGAGCTCCGCTTCGCCATCGACGAGCTGCTGCCGAGGGGGGTCGCTGGCGCCCAGAAGCTGAAGGTAGAAGAGGCCGCCGAGGCGCTCGACGAGCAGGCGGCGCTCGCGCGCGGGCGCACGTGAAGGCCCCTCGCGGCAGGAGCGGCAAGCTTCTCCGCAGCGGCGCTCAAGGGGCGAGCACTGCGCTCCGTGAGAGGGTATACCAGGCTCCCACGATTTGCTACCAAATGGCAAGTGCTGTTCAATCTGGAATGCCTGTGCTGGCGTCGACGCCATGTGGACGCGGCGCGAATCTGCTGCAATTACCCCCACTCGAACCTCGATCCTCGGTGGGGATTGCTCTCACCACCCACCAGACCACCCCAACCCCTCCATTTCCAGTGTGGGTTGGGTCGGGGAGCATGGACAAAAACACGTGGAACCCTTACCCCCCCCACAAATTCGGGTCTTCGGGTCGGTTTGGGGTGGTCTGGTAGGTAGTCATGCTCTTGTGGCTTATCCGACCCAGTGTGTGGCGACGATGGGAGGTCCTAGGCTAGTATGTGCCACGCTCACGGCGCCAAAGTTGACGCGGCGTACCTGGGCGAACTCGGAGGCCAAGTAGTGAGCCTTGGCGGGGAAGCATCGTGCATCGAGCAAATCCGGCCTGCTGTCGATGCAGGTTTGGAGTCCTGTGCGCTACAATCGAGGCGCTGAAGAAGGAACCCTTTTCGTTGGGAGAGACTCCGTGCTCCTTAATTGTTTCACAGTTTGCCTCAGGGTTTCCTCAGGTTTTCGATGGGAAATCGGAACTTGACTTATGGAACATGATCGACCCACGAACCCGGAAAGGAATATAGAACTGTAACACATGGCAGCGTTTTCAAAGACACCTGATTGGGTGACGGGCAAATGCAATGCTCAGTGTATCGATCTTGATGTACCCTGTCAAGGGCTGTGCTGTGCTGCGCCGTGCTGAATTGCGATGTGCCATGGCGCGACTGCGCTCTATAGCGTCGTGGATCGAGTCCTCCTTTGCATCCGAGTTCTGACCGAACTGATCTGGATCTTAAGCTCGAGCTGCCTGAACACATAGTAGCTGCCCCAGAGCTAATGGACAGGGGAACATGCCAGGAGGACGCGCCGCGAAACGTCCCAAGGGATGCGCCAGGCGACGTGCCAGGGGACGCGCCATGGGGTCGCACCGTAGGACGTGCCAAAGGGACGCGCTACGGAACGTGCCAATGGATGTGCCACGGAATGTGCCAGGGGACGCGCCACGCGACGTGCCAGGGGGACTCGCCAAGGGACGCCCCACGGAACGTGCCAAGGAACGTGCCAAGTTGCAATGCTGAGTGTATCGATCTTGATGTACCCTGCCGAGGGCTGTGCTGTGCTGCACCGTGCTGAATTGCGATGTGCCATGCCGCGGTTGTGCTCTATAGCGTCGTGGATCGAGTCCTCCTTTGCATCCGAGTCCTGACCGAACTGATCTGGATCTTAAGCTCGAGCTGCCTGAACACATAGTAGCTGCCCCAAAGCTAATTGACAAGGAAACATGCCAGGAGGACGCGCCGCGAAACGTCCCAAGGGATGCGCCAGGCGACGTGCCAGGGGACGTGCCATGGGGTCGCAACGCGGGACGTGCCAAGGGGACGCGCTACTGAACGTGCTGGGGACAAGCGTTTCGCTCGAGACATCCTATCACAATCATCCGTGTTCTGGCGCGAAAGGGACCCACGTGTTTTCACGCTTGTTCCGCTCAGGGGCGAAAGGGACCCACGTGTTTTCACGCTTGTTCCGCTCTGAGGCGAAAGGGACCCACGTATTTTCACGCTTGTTCCGCTCAGGGGCGAAAGGGACCCACGTGTTTTCACGCTTGTTCCACTCTGGGGCGAAATGGGCCCACGTGTTTTCATTACGTAAAAACACACGGATTCGTCCCCCTGGAGAGGGCGAATCTATAGGCACATACGTAACAAAACAAGCGTTTCGCTCGAGACATCCTCGGCAAACTCTGCGGAGCAAGCGTTTCGCTCGAGACATCCTCAACGCACGAAAAAGAGGCCCGCACCCTGTGATTTATCGATCGGGATTTCAAAAACAAGCGTTTCGCCTGAGACATCCTCAAATTTTAATCCGCCGGCCTCCTTCGACCTTGATATTTATCAGGGAAAGAATCCGCCGGCCTCCTTCAAGTTGGGCACGGGGGACTATGTTTACATACTAAAAGAGAACCCTGGGCCGACGCCCTTTCCGGGAAAAAATGGGCCCTCGTTCCTTGTTTGGGGTTCCTTGGGTCAGCGCCCCGACTGTATGAGTTTTCTGCATCATCCCACTCATGACTCGTCCTGCCGGCGTTCGGGTGCACTCCTCTCGCCCCCAATGTCGACCGCTCGCCGTTCCGAGCATGCCTTTGTTCTCGCCCCATGGGCGCTGCATGGAGGTGCGCCTGCGTCGCAGGTGGACCTCGGCAATTATATAGCTGGAGCTGTCGAAGAGCAGGCTTGTCTTGGGATGTGGTGGTACCTCGCTTTGCTGTGCTGGAGAAACCCGACCGGGAGGTTCGCCGGAGGCCATTTCGGCGCATGCTGGAGGTGCGGATCCCCAACCGCAGTTCTCCAGAAAATTCGCACGAGATGCCTCCAGAGCGCCTGGCTGTGTCCGCTGTGTCAGAGAGCATTTCGAATACTCAGTACTGAAGACATATATATATATATATATATGTATATATATATATAGATCCTCTGGACACTCTTCCACATGCCAGGGGCCATCTACCTCTACCCTTCAGCTTCGTTCGCTTGCGCCTCGCGGTTTTGCTACTCTGGCCTCGGCCGTTGCTCTCGCATGCCATTGCCTTTCCAACTCTGGGCCTCTGGTAGCGGCCGGCGGCTCCGCAAAGGGGGGCGCTGCAACGCGGCCTTGGAGCCGAAGTGGCAGGCCCTGCGGGAAGACTGCCCGGAGAGCATGAAGGAGACCGCCTGCTGTAGCCACTCAGTGGCAGCGATACAGTCGGGGCGCTGAAGAAGGAACCCTTTTCGTTGGGGAGGGGCTCGGTGTTCCTTGATTGTTTCAAAGTTTGCCCCGGGTTTTCCTGAGGTTTCCATGGGAAATCGAGGCTGAACTTGTGGGAAAAACGAGCCTCGTTCCTTATCTGGGGTTCCTTAAGGTCAACGCCTCGACTGTAGGGGGGGGGAATAGGCACGGGGGAGGAATGCATCGACGCCCGATCGCCCATGGGATCGTGGACAGGGGTCTCATAGCCCCACCCTGCCCAGGAACTCGCGGCTTTGCTGGCGGGGGCCCGTCGCCGATCCATCGGCGACGTGCCGCCGATTCAGGAGGAGGAGGAGGAGGAGGAGGAGGAGGAGGAGGAGGAGGAGGAGGAGGAGGAGGGAGGAGGAGGGAGGAGGGAGGAGGAGGGAGGTCGACATTCGCCCCCCCATGCCAGTCCCGCCCTGTCGTTGCCCATCGGCCACGCCACAGTCTCCCTGGGTTGCACGTAAGATCAATCAGTGGCCGGGCGCCCCGGTTCGCCTAGAGGCCCGCAAGGATCAGAGCCTTTTGTGGTTTGAACCAGATGCTGATCGAGCATATGTGGCTGTAACCGTCTTGTTTTATTCGTGAGGTTTTTTGTTCTAAGAGTAATGTTTTTGTCTTCGGTTCTTGGTTCGAAGAGAATGTCGTGGGAGGCCGAATTATGGGCCTACGGGAATTTCAGGACGGTCGGTCCCTGCTCAGTAAGAGTGGCCCTTCGTTGGAACATGATCGACCCACGAACCCGGAAAGGAATATAGAACTGTAACACATGACAGTGTTTTCAAAGACACCTGATCGGGTGACGGGCAAATGCAATGCTGAGTGTATCGATCTTGATGTACCCTGCCGAGGGCTGTGCTGTGCTGCACCGTGCTGAATTGCGATGTGCCATGCCGCGGTTGTGCTCTATAGCGTCGTGGATCGAGTCTTCCTTAGCATCCGAGTCCTGACCGAACTGATCTGGATCTTAAGCTCGAGCTGCCTGAACACATAGTAGCTGCCCCAGAGCTGATGGACAGGGGAGCATGTCAGGAGGACGCGCCGCGAAACGTCCCAAGGGACGCGCCAGGCGACGTACCAGGGGACGTGCCATGGGATCGCACCGCGGGACGTGCCAAGGGGACGCGCTACGGAACGTGCCAATGGATGTGCCACGGGATGTGCCAGGGGACGCGCCACGCGACGTGCCAGGGGGACTCGCCAAGGGCGCCCCACGGAACGTGCCAAGGAACGTGCCAAGTTGCAATGCTGAGTGTATCGATCTTGATGTACCCTGCCGAAATATGTGCTGTGCTGCACCGTGCTGAATTGCGATGCGCCATGCCGCGATTGTGCTCTATAGCCTCGTGGATCGAGTCCTCCTTTGCATCCGAGTCCTGACCGAACTGATCTGGATCTTAAGCTCGAGCTGCTTGAACACAGTAGCTGGCCCAGAGCTAATTGACAGGGGGGCATGCCAGGAGGACGCGCCGCGGAACGTCTCAAGGGACGCGCCAAGCGACGTGCCAAGGGACGTGCCATGGGGACGCACCGCGGGACGTGCCAATGGGACGCGCTACGGAACGTGTTGGGGACAAGCGTTTCGCTCGAGACATCCTATCAAAATCCAAGGAACTCTTGGCAAAACAAGCGAATTAGTCAAGACATCCTCGAAATTCCTGCGCGCGGGACGCGGCACGCGCGAGACATCCTCGGAATTCCTGCGAGCGGGACGTGAAAACAAGCATTTCGCCTGAGACATCCTCTGGATTCTGGACCCCCACGAGGCCCCCGCTCGAGACATCCCCCAATTTTGCAAAACCAGTGTTTCGCTCGAGACATTTTCAACAATTCATGAAAATTTTGCAAAACCAGCGTTTCGCTAGAAACATCCTCAACCAATTATGAACAACAAGCATTTCGCTTGAGACATCCTGCCCAAATTCAAATGAATCATAGAAAAACGAACGAATTAGTCGAGACATTCTCTAAATTCCTGCGCGCGGGACGCGGCACGCGCGAGACATCCTCGGAATTCCTGCGCGCGGGGCGCTTTTCTGCGTCGCGGTCGGCTCTGCAAAACCAGCGTTTCGCTCGAGACATCCTCAACAAATTCTGAAAACAAGCGTTTCGCTCGAGACATCCCCAACTCTGTAAAACCAGCGTTTCGCTCCAGACATCCTCAACAAATTCTGAAAACAAGCGTTTCGCTAGGGATATCCTCAAAAATAATTCCGCCGGCCCTCTTCCCGCACGTAATTGATCGCACAATAATTCCGCCGGCCCTCTTCCCGTCGATTCCGGAGCCAAACTTCTAAAAGAGAACCCGGGGCCTGAAGCCCTTTCCGGGAAAACATGATCGACCCACGAACACGGAAAGGAATATAGAAATGTAACGCATGGCAGCGTTTTCAAAGACACTTGATTGGGTGACGGGCAAGTGCAATGCTGATTGTATCGATCTTGATGTACCGTGCCGAGGGCTGTGCTATGCTGCACCGTGCTGAATTGCGATGTGCCATGCCGCGGTTGTGCTCTATAGCATAGCGTCGTGGATCGAGTCTTCCTTAGCATCCGAGTCCTGACCGAACTGATCTGGATCTT